ATACTTGCCATTTGCAACAGTGTGTATAAACCTAGAGGGTATTATGCTAAGTAAAATAAGGCAGTCAGAGAAAAACAAATACTGTATGATTTCACTTATATGTGGAATCTAAAAAACAAAATAAACAAATAAAATCAAAACAGACTCATAGATATAGAGAACAGACTGATATTTGCCAGAGAGGAGGGCGGTTTGGGTACTGGGAGAAAAAGGTGAAGGGATTAAGTACAAAGTGGTAGTTATAGAATAGTCATGGGATGTAAAGTGCAACATAGGGAATACTGGTATAGTTAATAATAATGATGCCAGTTGGGTATTGGAAATATCGGGAGGATCACTTTGTGTTATTTTATTGGTGCTACAGACAACTTGTTTAGGATAGCTTGGGATGTGACATAAAATGATTCTGGTTTGCTGGATCTGGCATATAAAATAGAAATTTAATATCACTCTTGAAGACTAAAAACAGAGGGAGGTGACTGGCGGTGGGGGGTGGGGCCGGCGAGTGGGTGGCGCCAGGCCAGCCAAGGCCGGTGCTAACGGTGGCCCCCTGATAGCCTCGCCAGTCACCCCACAGATCAGCCCTGATTGCCGGCCAGACCTAGGAACCCTACCCATGCACTAATTTTGTGCACCAGGCCTCTAGTACTATAATGAAATCACATTTTACACATAAAAAAAAAAATTTTAGGAAATGAATCTCCTAGTAGAGGATATAAGAAAGTTATCTTGTGGAAATTGACCAGGAGAGAGTGAATTCCCTTGCTTTCCAAGTTTAAGTTCAAGTGACTTGATGAGTAAAAGAGTCTACTCCATCGTAACTGATGAAGTGCCTACGGGACCTCTCGTATTGCCAGGCCTACAGAGGAGGGGTGCAGCACCAAAGAGCTATCTGATTAATTTGTGGTAACACACGAGATCCAAAGACCTTATATTTTTCAAAAACAAAATTGTATTTCACTCTTTTCTTTAAGCACATTTTTCAAAAAGTAAAGAGCTTTCCTTTGCTGACATTGCACTGCCTTGTCTTAGCCAACGAACTGAGCCATCCAGTCTATTAACTAAACGGAACGACAGGAAACTTCATAAATATTTAAAGCAGCTGCCATGAATTAAACATTGGGATAAACAAACTAAGTCCTTTCATTAAGCACAATGTTAAACAAATAAGTAAATAAATAAAGCTCATGACTTGTATTGCTAGGGTAAATCAAATGTTTGAATTGATAATACTTCAGGTTTCTTTAAACATTTACCTCAGGTAATGCTTTGAATAAATTATATTACATGTGTTTGGCTTATTAGACCAAAAGCAACTGATTTTAATGAAACATTTAGGACTTCCAAAAAAATAAAGGGTTGTTAAGTAGGATGGGGTTCAGTCCTTCAGAAACAAAGCAATTAGCAGAACTCTGGGACCAAGCATGAGGAAACGGTGATGAGTCTTGTGTGATTTTAAAGTGAAGCTCAGTACAAATCACAGGAAAGGAGAGGGAGCATCAAACCAGTGGTCCTGCCCCTCATTGAGTTTGATTCTGTGTGTTCTGCCTGTAGGATGTGTATCTTCATTTATTGAATAGACGGGCCGAGCACCTGCAGTGTGCCGGGCCTGTGGTGCATGAGGGTTACAGGCTGATTAAGACATGACTCCTCTCCTTGAGGGTCTCACAGTCCTAAATGAACACCATCAACCTAGACACCTTCCTGCATGCTGTGGTGGGTGGAAAACTGGAGCAGAACAGAATGATTACTGAACTGAGGATTTAGGGCAGTGATGGCGAACCTATGACACTCATTTTTTTGGTTGATTTTTCTTTGTTAAATGGCATTTAAATATATAAAATAAATATAAAAAATATAAGTCTTTGTTTTACTATGGTTGCAAATGTCAAAAAATTTCTATATGTGACACGGCACCAGAGTTAAGTGAGGGTTTTTCAAAATGCTGACACGCCGAGCTCAAAAGGTTCGCCATCACTGATTTAGGAGATTTGAACCGACATCCTTATTACATCACTGGCTGCTATTTAAGCCCCTTTACTGAGCATCAGATTCCCTCCTTAGAATATGCTGTAACAATTGATATCATATGGGGACTTTTGCAGGATAGAATGAAAAGCCAATTATCAAATATTAGTAGTTTCCTTATCGTTTTTTTCTTACCTTGCAGTAATATTTAGGAAAAAGGGAAAACCATGAAATCTTGAAATTATTGAAAAAGTTCTGTGAAAAAAATGGAGCCATAATACCTTTTGAGAACTTACTATTTGTCATTTGAGCCCCATCACAACCTTATAAGGTAGTTTCTGTTATTATTCCCATTTTAGAGATAACGTGGCTGAGACACAGAGATGATGGGATTTGCCAAAGGTCACATAGCTTGTAGGTGATGGAGACAAGGTTTGCTACCTGTAGCCTGGCCCCACTTTCTCAACCCGGTGCACTGCACCATGGAGGCCGTTAACCCTGACGCTGAAAGTTCACTTAGGATGCATACTCAATCATGTCTGTTACTGCTTTATTGAATGTTCTCATAGGAAAAACAACTGCACTACAAAAAGTTAAGAAATTGCTTCTTTCCCCTATGGTGAACTTGAAGGTTTTTTTTTTGGAGTTGAGTTTGGCTGAAAGGAATTAGCTCCTCCATCACCAAAAGTGGTGGGTTTTAGGAAGTGCTCTAGGGCAGTGATTCTCAATCATTTTGGTCCCATCACCCTTCAGGCTCTTAAAAATTATTGAGGTCCTCAAAAAGCTTTTGGTTTATAAGTTAGGAAGACGTTGGTGTTGAGAATGGATTTGATGAACCCTCAGATGTGTGGTCTTAGGCCAGGCATCTCCAAATCCATGTTGTTAGAGGGTTGGCTGTCTCCCCGAGACTTGCCGCTCTCTGAGATTGCTGTGACTGAACCAAGAACAAAGGGGTCTGAGGATTTCTACAGAAATGATGGTTCCACGAAAGGTTTGGAGATGAACAAGGCTGGTTCAAAGTGATTTTGGAATGTAAAGAATTTCCTTGGATTGAGTTCCATGGAAGTTTGTCACTAACCTGTGTTCCTGAACTATGAAACATGAATATGTAGACAAAGGAATAGTTCTTTTAATAAATAAGCAATTTGAAAAATGGGAGGGGAGCCCTGGCTAGTTTGGCTCAGTGGACCGAAAGGTTGTAGGTTAGATTCTGATCAGGGGCATATACCTCGGTTGCAGGTTCGATCCCTGGCCCTGGTCGGGGTATATGTGGGAGGCAACCAGTGGATGTGTCTCTCTCACATTGATGTTTCTCTCTCTCTGTTTCTCCCCCTCCCTACCATTCTCTCTAAAAATCAATGGAAAAAATATCCTCAGGTGAGGATTAAAAAAAAAAATGGGAGGAGGACTATCATTTATGGCAGTTATACCTATGGATATTTACCTTAGAAATTAAAATTGAGAAATTAAAAAAAACATTTATTATTCCATTTAAAGCACAATATTACAGTTAACATTTTAATGAAAAATAGCCATATTTATAAAATAAAAATTATTAAGCACTATAGCTTGGTTTCACATTTTAGACTTGATTCCCGTATCTACTTCTGTGCCATCTGTTGCATATGCATTGTATCTCTCGGAAACTGCACTGTACAATAAGGGGAGGATGAGTGAAAAAAGCAAATGTCTTAATATTTATTATTAAAATAGTTTAGACCTCTTGGACTCCTTGAAAGGGTATAAGGTTCTCCCAAAGATCCTTGGATTACACTTTGAGAACTGCCACTTTAGAACATGTCTTTTGCAATAGTTTTTAGATCATGAAGTATTAATAATATGGTGCAAAAATGAGCAAAGCAAAGTGAATAAAAAGGAATCAGTTGAGCATCCTTAGCTATTAAATTAGAAAGTCAAGGATAAACCCGAAAGATACAACCTTGATAAGATTTTTAACAAACAGTTTAAAAATAGTTATTGTTTTAGTAATCAGTAAATATAGGGGACTATGATTTGTATTAATATGTTAGAGAAATTCATGCTTCTATCTTGTGGTTTGCCTTCTTATATTTAAGGTATTTAATATTAAAAGAGGCAGAATAGTCAGTAGATAATATTTGAGAAAGACAAGATACGACAAAAACATCCCTTACTTGCCAGTGATAGTAGTATCTCTAATCCTCGATTTAGTTATTCAGCGGTGACGGTAATAATAATAATAATAGCAACCGCATAAAAGTGCTTGGGAAGTGCCAGGCCATTAAACCTCACATCAGCCCTTTGAACTGGGTGGTCTTCTCCCCTCCCTCTCATCCTCCTTCTTCCTCTCTTTCCTCCTCCCCTCCCCCTTCTCCATCCCCTTCTCCATCTCCTCCTCCATCCCCACCTCCCATTTACAGAAAGAATGGTTAAGTGGTTGCCAGAAGTGACACACAGCTTCGCCAGTAGCCATAGGCCTTCTGGCTGTAAAGTCCATGCTCTTAAGTCTCCCCTCTGCTCTTCCCTCCCCCACTCTGTACAGCTCCTCTGTACCTACTTTATTTGGGTTTTAATGACAATTACATTATGTCATATCGCATATCATATCATATCATGTCATATCATAATATCATATCATATCAAAGGTAGGTAAAGGGTACCTGGCACATTGTAAGCACTCATTAGTGGTTACTATTCTTCTTTCTCCTTCTCTTTCACTCTCCCTCCTTTTTCCTTCTCCCGGTTTGTGCTGAACTCCTAATCTTCTCTGGTTCTTGAAGGTCAGTTAACTAGAGTTCTTTTTCTCCTTTGGGTTTACGGTCTTTTTCTTCTCTTAGCCATGGCCTGGTTCCATCCTTTGTCAGACTTCAGGTACTGACTCCTGAACTCCCCACAGACTTAGGGAGCATCATCAGGAGAGTTTCGCTCTCTATTCTGACTGGAGAAATTGTGCCATAGCTTTCATTGTCACTATTCTATACTTGCAGTTTTAACTTGTACAAAGAAAAGGTTAATGTTGCACACCTTGACTATATTAACTGTGTTTATTGTAGAGTTTCAGATTGCCAAAAGACAAAACCGGCACCACCAAGATTGGTGACCTTGCGCCCCAGGACATGAAGAAGGTTTGCTATTTAGCCCTGATTGAACTGACTGCCCTCTATGATGTACTGGGTATTGAACTGAAACAACAAAAAGCTGTGAAGATCAAAACAAAAGGTAATTGGAAAAGAAAAACTGGTTGGATTTACCTCTAAAGTAGCAAGGATGAGCTTGGCTTTTTAAACCATATTTTTAGGGGCAAAACAACTACAAAACAAACCACGTCCACAAGACATCCAAAATGTAGATTCTAAAACATCGCCTTCAAAAATTTGTATCTTGATAAAAATGCACTGTTTCCTAGAATGTAGAAAATAAAGGCATAATCAAAAATTTAATTTACCATAGAAGGAAATTATGAGTCAAGGAATCTTAATTCACATGCTCTCTCGTTTAAAACTAAATAATGCATTTGTTACATATACTTATTTATTTCCAAAATAAGATCTTGAAAAATGACTTGAAGATGGTTGCTTCTGATCAATTATTTTTGCTTAATTACTTGATGGAAAATACATAGGGTAGTGAGTAGTCCTTTTGTTCATTAACATTCTACTTCTAAATATTTTGCAAACACATTCTTTACTCCCTTAAGAAAAATATGCCATGTGGTGCATAATACCGCTAAATTGTATTCATCAGGGATATGTGTAATTTTTCTTTTGTATGCAGCTTTACCCATTTTATAAACTTACAGTATTTTAAATAATATACTAGAGAATAACAGCTTCTCGATATTTGTTTTTCCAAGACTTTATTGGCTTGGAAATCCAGAAAATTCTCTGTTGACAAAGCTTTACTGTTTAGGAAATTCAGACCTCTTGTTTTACCTTAACGGCATCTCCTAAAGAGAAACCAAGAATAAGGATTATTGAGTTGCCATGGTAACATTAGCAAAGACAAGTATTCACCTGATTTAAGTTTTAGAGGCAATTTCTCTGTAGGACTGAAGTGTGCCTTCCCTTCAGGCCCTCTTCCATGCTGGGCCCCAGAAGACCTCATTCTGTGCTCAGTTCCTTTGAGTATTTTAGCTTAAAGCTTGGCACGGAGAATTTCTGAATTAAATGATGCTTCTGGTTTTCCACACGTCCTTTGTGGATAATGAAGACCTCACATGCTTTTTTAGAAGTTTATCACAAAGCCTTCTCCAAATATAAAATGAAAATCTAATTTAAATAGCTGTGCTCAAGACTTTAAAAGTGGCTTGAGGAGGTTTTTATGTTTTAGAATTGCATCCTAGCTCTATTAACTGGTATGAAGCCAGTGATAAGAGAAATACTGTCATTCTTATTAAGAGTATCACTATTAGCAGATTTTCTTTCCATCTTTTTAAGTGTTTTTATATCTAATCTAAGCTATTTATCTTATAAGCTAGATGAACATTCTTGAAGATTACATCTTTTCTTAATTTTTAAACTGAAAGTTATTTAGTGGCTAACTGGCATTCTTGTGAATGGCATCTCTCTTGAGTGTCACAATTTGCAATGTCTGTGCTCATATCTCAAAGATAATCCCCCTTTCCATGTTCACAAGTGATTTATACCTCCCCTGATGATGTGTGTTACACGCCTTTGCTAGCCATTCACTTGGTGATGGGGTGGGGTGGGGTGGGAGGTACTGGGTACAAGCTATGCTCATACCAGACTTAAGGCATATGATTTTAATTTAGAAAAATTAGAAACCATTACTTGTCATTCTTTCTGGAATTATTTCCAGATATATAAACTACAAATTTAAATTCAAGAATACTAAGTATCTACTATATTTTCTAAAGAAAAATGTTTGTAGAACAAGATCATACTGTTCTCTGATCTCTCAAAGGTGAGTGTTTATAGTTTGCTGTATTGTAGAATGTTATATGTCAATTAAGTATGGAAGAGATGAGTGACATTTGCTTTAAGCCAAAATTTTCAATTTTACCACATTTAGTAAATTTTTGCATATTGATGTATTCCCACAGGACTCATTTCTCTTATGCAGCAGTTTATACTTTTGTAGTTATTTCGGGAGATTATTTGCGTTCATTTGTCTAGTTGTCTTTCCTTGCTAGATTGCTCTATAAGGCAAGGCCAGGATTTTACTGTGGGGATATAGATGCTTAAAGACTTCACTTAGCAGGTGCTCAATAAATAGTTGTCTGATTGAATGACAATATTAGAAGTCTTATGCCTTAATATCTTGCATCAACATTTTATGGATTGATGGAAGTGAAGAAATTTTATTTTTTATTGCAGATTCTGGCCTTTTTTGTGTTCCATTGACAGTATTGTTAGAACAAGATCAGAGGAAAGTACCAGGAACTCGAATACCCTTGATATTTCAAAAAGTAAGTAGGCCTGAATGAGTCAGCATGGAGAGAACATACTTGAATTAACAGTGTTTTCATTTTTATTTTTGCATTCATACTATTATAATATAGTTTTCCAATTGATATGCTCTTTTGTTTTGTACTTTGATTTTTTCTATTCAGGAAGCAAATTTGCTTCAAGGGCTCATAATTTTTATTTCATGGTGATGCATTTTGTGTTACTATTGTAACTGTGATTACCTGGCATCATTTTCCTGTCTTATATTAGCTGGCTTTGCATAATTGAGATTTCAATTCTATAATACATAGAAATGGAAACTGCTTATAAATTTCTAGGGAACTGAATCTTCATGAATATTTCATCCCAAGCTTTCTTATTTACAGTGAGGACGTCCAATTTAATTTACCAGTTTCTACTTCCAAACTAGGCAAAGAAACCATAAAGTAGAATTAGAAAATGATTGTTAAACTGTCAAGTCACTTGTCTAGTCAACACTCAGTTATTCACAAGGGGATTATCTATGGCAATACAAGAATTTCAGTCTAATCTCTGAGCCATCATTGTTCAGGAACACAGATTACATATGATAAAAGCCAGGGAATGCACCATGGAGAAGGCAGGTCAAATCAGTTATGGACAACCCAAACTCTAGATTCTTAGCAACACACCAGGCATATCACAGTTTCTGGGAGTTCTGGCAAGAGTGGCCATGGAAACTTTCACAATTGATGGACTCCATAAAACCATTAATTCTAAAGCTCAATCTACTTGGCACTTATTCTTCTGTTATTCCAAGCCAGTCGTTTACGTTTACCCATCTTACCTACTAACCTCGGATTCCTTTATTCCTCATGTTCTCCATTACATCCAAACCTGTTTCTCAATGTTTTTCCTGATGAATGTTGCTCTGTACAGTTAATCCTACTCAACAGCCTCTGTTAACCACTGCCAACAGAACCTGTATCTGTTTAAATAGTTGTCAACACTGCCTGTGAATAACAGAGAGGTGCTAACAAATATAAGTCATCTATTCAAATTCTTTTAATGTCAATTAAAGGTGTCAGTTACCCTACACAGATGACTGTACAAAGCAGGGATCTCGGCACCATCCTTTCTACCAAGTGTATTAGGATTCTCCAGAGAAAGAGACCTATTTTAAAGAATTGGCTTATGGGAGTGTGTGGGCTGGCAAGTCTGAAATATGTAGAACAGGCCAGCAGACTGGAAACTTGGGCAAGAGTTAATGTTGCAGTCTTGAGGCAGAAGTGCTTTTGCTTTGAGAACCTCAGTCTTTGCTCCTCTGGCCTTCAAGTGACTACCTGAGGTCCATCTACAGTATGGAGAGTAATTTGCTTTATTCAGAATCTACTGACTTAAATGTTAATCATATGTCAAAAATGCCCCGTAGGAGCATGTCTCATACTTGACCAAACAACTGGGCATAGTAGCCGAGCTAACACACCAAGTTCACCCCATACCGATGAAGGGTAAGGCTAGATCTCCACGAAAGTTTAGTGATACCTCCTGACTAGGGTCCGGATTGCATCCAATCCCTTGTCATTTTTTCTTGGAATTGTTTTCTCATGTATTTAGTTAGTTTACATTTGTGGTTTCTTCTGGAGACCCTGGCTGCCCCTCAGTTTGAAGTTATTGGATAATAGCCCTAAAGTATTTTGATTTGTTATAAAAAAAAAAAATAGGACTGCCCTGACCACTTTGGCTCAGTGGATAGAGCGTCGGCCTGCAGACTCAAGTCCCAGGTTCGATTCCGATCAAGGGCATGTACCTTGGTTGCGGGCACATCCCCAGTAAGGGGTGTGCAAGAGGCAGCTGATCGATATTTCTCTCTCATCGATGTTTCTAACTCTCTATCCCTCTTCCTTCCTCTCTGTAAAAAATCAATAAAATATATATATTTTTTAAAAAAGGACATATAAAGAGCTTACTATTAGATAAACACTTATCTGTTTGCATCCTCTCTGAATTATAAACAAAAAAATCACAGTGTTTTATCATGAAAAATATTTTTTTATTTATCAGCTAAAAACTGAATAATTAGGCATTACCTCAATTTTGTGGAGAGAGTTAGAAACCACTGATTTGCAAAAAGATTTGTTAGTAGTCTTTAGAGGATTATATTTTCTCAGTTATTGAGAAATATACCCTAAAAGGGCTTTAATAAAACTTATCTGTGAGCTCTGTTTCTTGTTTTTCCTCAGAGGCACATTGTTTAAACCATATTTTCAGAAAGATTTGGGGAATATTCTTAATTTTTATCTGTGGAAAAATTCTACCTAATGAGCAAATTCTTTTCTCACTGTCAAACCAATCAGCCAAATCAAACATACTCTTTGTCAAAAAGTTTGACATATGTTCAATTGATTTTTTAATTCATTTAACTATATAGAATGTATTTTGGGAAATGCCATGAAAATTGCTGAAAGATGAATTACTAAAAGCAGCATGATGAAAATATATAGATCAATATAGTTATTTTTCATGTCTGTATTAAGTCTTGAAAATGAAAGGAAAGCTGTAAATTATTAGTATGTTTTAATAATGCAATATAATGTGGGAGCTAAAAATATGGTATTTTCTAAGTGGAAAATACAAGAAAACATGACATTCTTTTAGACAATGTATGCATACCTCAATTGAGTGCTAGTATTCAGCTTTAGAGAATAATAAAAAAAGACTAATATATAAAAATTCAGAGATTACTCTCATTCAGTTATTTAGAAATCATGGTCAATTTTTCCTTTGTATTTAATGAAAGCAAAAGGCTTATGTTGGTAAAAACTAATTTGCTATAGCTGTTAGCATATAATTTTATCTTTTGTTAATAGAACATTTTAAACATTGTATAAGAGTAAATAAAGCACATATTGCTTGTACATTGAATAACTATTACATGGTATTATTGGATACATTTGGTTTTAAACACTTTATTGACTAATGCCTGTCTAATGTAAAATAATTATCGAAATTATTTTGATGTGGGTTTTTTATCCAGTGTAATTGGAAAAATACGGCTTGGAAAATATTCCAGTTGAATTTCAAAAAATCATGTACCGCATTGACTGATTGCTTAAAGATGCCTCTCTCTTCAACTGTAATAAATCTTTGGGAGAATTTTGAGGCTACTCTTTGCTTTATTCTTACCTGACTCCCTCAAGATCAGTTCATTCTTTGGCCATAATCCAGGGATAAAAGAAATAAGGTCATTAAAGAAAAATGCCATCTTGTCCAGTGTCCACTGGATATCTAGAGGATATCTCAGTTTAGAACATCTAGACAAAGGTCAAAAGACCTCATTTATGATGCCATGCTTTGCTCTTAAGACACTTTTACAACCCAGAGGGAAACAGTAAGCTGTATGTAGTTTATAGAGCCTTCGTTAATCATTAAAGGAGGTTTCCATGAGAAGAAAAAATGACAATTTTACATTCTTTTGGCACTCTGGGAGATTTTTTGCTTTACAGTCTGCAGAGAGTATTATAGTAGGATTAGGGATGAGTGAAGAGTCTGCTTTTTATAAAGGAGGAGAAGCTATTGTGCAAGGAGGGTGAGTGGTAGGAAGGAAAACCTACTCGGGGCTAGTAAATGCCTTATATTGAAACTGAGGGACACGGAAATTGATTTCTTTAAAATAGCACAGTGCCCCCTATAAATCCTTCATGTACTGCCTAGGGAATGCATATTCCAGTGGACATTTACTCTGCCTACCTTTTGTACCTTCCAACGTATGTCACTGCAATGTCTCTGTTTGCCTTCTTGTAGTGGGTCTCTGCCTTGTTAAAAAAACACACAAAACTTTGTTATTTTAATGGGGTTCTGGAAGTAGAGAGATCTGCATGCATTAATAATAGAGTATGAGGTATTATTTAGAAGCCCTATTTTCTTTTTCTTTTTTTTTTTTTTTTTTTTTTTTTTTTTACTATTTTTTATTTACGTTTGCCACGAAAAGCTTAAAGGCTTAAAAATGAATATTTGCAAACAGTTTGTTTTTTGCCTTCATATGATAAATAATTCTTTCTTTGAACAAGCTGAAAACGAGATGTAAATGTGCAAGTACTAGAATTTCATAAGATTTATTTGATTGCGGAGTGTATGTTTCGGGAAAAGCAGACGAAATGGATGGTTTTAGTTGCTTGTAAACAATGAAAAATTTCAGTTTCTGTTTGTTTGCAGTCCTACAGCTGTTGTGTGACATTATATACTTCTGTTCCAAAGGAGTATGAGACCCAACTTTTTCTAAATTCTAAGTTATAATTAAAGTTTTGGGACTCACCGGTGAAAGCCTAGTGCTAGTGCAGTTTCATTCAGATCTTCACGAAATCCTGTGTACACGTCCTTGTAATCAGTCTCATTTATTTGTGTGTGAAACAGATGTTAAATCTGGAGTTGTACCTGTTCTGAATACCAAAATCAGAATGTTCTTCTATTTACACACAGCTGATTTCTCGAATTGAAGAGGGAGGTTTGGAAACCGAAGGCCTCTTAAGGATACCTGGAGCTGCCATTCGAATCAAGGTGCTCTCTCAGTTCTCTCAATGTCAAACTTCATTGTTTAATTACACTTTTACATTTTAAAAGTTAACTTGCCCTCTCGCCCCTTCTCCCTCTTGTTAGCAAAGTAGATTAAATATAACAATAAAACCTCTTGACATTCAGTTTATATTTAGTTCTTCTGTAGTCTCCTCTGACTTCTGTGTAAGTTCTGATTCTTTTTTCAAAAGCAACATGTTACATGTAATAATAATATCACGATCAACCAAGAGGCAAATAATCTCTCTACTGTGCAAACATAACGTAGGGACAAAAGTCAACAGGCAAAAGATGAGTAGTTTCATCCTTCTGATGAGAAGAGAACACCATGAGTCAAAATATTAATAGGGGACTGGTGATAGATTTAGTCAGCATGAATAAGAGCAGTTGAGTTTTTGTTTGTTTGTTTGTTTGTTTTTTAAAGGCAGGATGATAAACTCCACCAGGTGAGCAGAGGAGGGGACTTGACATGATGAGTCTGAGTGAGCTGCCGAAATGAGCCTCTGTCTCATCACTTTCCTGACTTTCACAGTTCCCAGTCTCCCTGGACTCCGGGTAGCCAGAGTCTGGCTTGTGAGAGAGGTCGTTCCAGAGGTCCCAGTTGGAGCCTCTCTTTATCCATCCCTTGTTTTCTTTTCTCTCAAGATGATATTTCTTTCCCACTCTCCTAAGATGCCGTGTATCCTCCCCCTTTCTCTCTGTTACCCAATTCCTGATCTGAGGATTAAAACATCCAATGAGTGCATGGCCAAGGTGCAACTACCCCACGGACGATGCATGATTCATAGGCCTCTCAGGGGATTTGCACTATGGTGCCTCGTACTTGGAATTGTAGCTCTGTCTGGAAAATTCATCTAGGAAAGTTTTGGTTAGCAGTCATTAACCCCCCTTACCTTCTCCAAACTCAGCTGTAGCTCTAAACTGCTCACATCCAATGTATTGTCTTCCTGACTTGCAAATCCAAGAGAACGTGGGGTAGAGGGAAGAGATTTTCTCTGCTCCTTTCCTTAAGACCCACCCATAGGGAACCTTTAGAGCTGGATCAGAAAGAAGGGACCCCCGTGCTGCCAGGAGTGGGATTGAGATTCATACCTTCCACATTCCCATCACCTGTTTTCTTTGATAAGCTGCCTCAAGTTAGGAGGCCAGTTTTGGCCTACTTGGCTCTTACTGCATTGGGATCTCAGTTTGATTGGATTCCAGTCACCTGATATTCCCTGCTCACAAATTTCATTCAGCCTGTGTCCCCGGGGTCTGGCATCTGGTGCACAGAGGTCCTGGGACTGTTCTGGTGCCCCTGTGAGTGTGGTAAGTTGCCATTGTCTCAGTTCGTTTGCGAACACCTGTGGCAATTTCACCACCAATCAATCATGGCTGCGCTGTGAGATTCTGAGATATATTCTATGGAGAAGCACGTTCTCAGACAGAGAAAGACTCAGAAGCAGGTACTGGGACTTCCTGTGACCCATATCAGCAAGAGTACTGCTTCCCAGGTCACTGTCCACAGCATTCATGAGCAGCATGTGATGGCCAACTCACAGGTCATGAACACGTTTACTTTAGCGCCCAATGGGATGTGTATTTGACGTTTGGACTGGGTTGCTGGCAGAAGAATGCTTTCAAATAAATGTAGTTTCTAAGAAGGTCAGTGAGGTGGACTCTGCTGGCTCTACTCTTCAACCCAGCCTGTTGTCACAGACAAACTATGCAGCAGCTGGTCCATTATAAATAAAGATAATATGCAAAATTATTGCTTGTCTTTCTCCCCTGCCCCACAACATTTCTCCTATTCTTCTCCCTGTTTCGCTCTTCCCCTCCCTCCTCCATCATCCTCCCTTCTTTCATTCTCTCTCTCCCCTCACCCCTCTTTCCTCCAGTGACTGCTAACCAAAACTTTACTTTTCTGGGTTTACCTTTATGTAATTTCACCAATTACAGAAATAATTAGGGTAGAGAAGGGAGTTGAATTAGGAAGAGCAAGTGTAATAAATTCACCTTCTACGAAGAACAAAGACCGTTAATTTGGGAGAACAGTTTCAAATAATAGAAGAAAGTGTCAGGGACGTGGAGGGATTTCTAGCGTAATAGGATGTACGCCACAGTGGAAAGGCATGTAGAAAATAGTAATTGTGGAACTAAGTTGATTTATTACTAATACTTCAGCAACATTTGTAGAGTCCTTGAGGCAAATGAACTAGGTATTGCTCATTCCACACAGATCAAACCATTTTCTGCAGCTGGCAGCAGGGTGGCTGTGTCACTTAAGGCCCCTGCATTGAGGACAGGTGTATTGATGTATTTTCATGCCTCATTAGCCACAGAACTTGGCTTTCCATTTCCCAGAGGTGACTAATCAGGGTAGCCTTCTGCTCTAGGCCCAGAGGTGGATTACCATTTTGTTATGGAATGTACTTCTAAATGATTTGAAACACAGACTGTTTTTTTTTTAAAATGATTTTTTGTTAATTTAATGAAAACTTACAGTATCTAAATAAAGCCCCCGAATGTAAAGACTATTTTAACTAATCTTTTCATTAAACCTTTACTGCTTGAGGTCTGAAGCGTGTCCAGGAAAACGTGTCAAGTTTCTGAATTTCTTGGCTTAGGTATAATTTTCCTTCGGGAAAGCTTCCTGCGGGTAGGGGCGGGGTGCTTCCTGATGACGGAGAAGCGTTGGACTTGGGGACTCTCACAAGTCTTTTCTAAGGAGTAGAATCGCTTGTCAAGTGGGAAGTGCATCACACTCTCTGCAGGAGAAGAGGAAGGCACTTACTGGTAACCCGTTTTTGTTTTTTTTTTTCTTTTTCCTTCTGCCTTTCAGAATCTTTGCCAAGAACTGGAAGCAAAGTTTTATGAAGGGACTTTTAACTGGGAAAGTGTCAAGCAGCACGATGCAGCCAGCCTGCTGAAGCTGTTCATCCGAGAGCTGCCCCAGCCGCTGCTCAGTGGCGAGTACCTCAAAGCCTTCCAGGCCGTCCAGAGTGAGTGCTGGCCCCCTCGGGAGCAGTCTTGCTCAGCTGCCACCCGTGTTCGTTGCTTGAATGACAAACAGGACCAGAGATGTTTGGGTAGATGTGGTGACTCACTGGTGTCAACGGGCGCCCAAATGCCACACTGTCGTTTTCCTTTATAACTACACATCTCCGGGCAAATAGAAAACAGAATGTTCTCTTTGGGTACAGACGAATTGCATGCCCTTTAAGCAATACAATATATTTTCATGTTAAAACCTGGAAACATCACATTTCTCTTAGAATAGAATGAGTCACGTAAGCTCTCTGATACATTTTTCTTGCCAAGTGTTAAAAACAACACTTATTGGAGAAGCTGTGGATTAACAGTTAGAGCATAAGAGCGGGAGGAGATCTGGCAGAGTCTGCGATTATTTTCTGAAAAACCAAGTTTTTGAAATCGTCATGCAGAAACGTGGCACAAGTCGTGTGACGGCCGTATTGGTGGAGGGCAACGGGCTTCTTACGTCTTGCCATTTTGCAGTCTTGGGCAAGCTCCAAATGAATGTCTCACATAGTTCTCAGTTCCTTCCTAGTGAACACAGAGATCTTACGAGATTTATATACTGGCATCATTAGCCCTTATTCTAGCAGTGGTTCTCAACCTTCCTAATGCCGTGACCCTTTAATACAGTTCCTCATGTTGTGGTGACCCCCAATTTCATTGTCACAAATTGAACATAATTAAAGCATAGTGATTGATCACAAAAACAATAGGTAATTATATACGTGTTTTCCGATGGTCTTAGGCGACCCCTGTGAAAGGGTCGCGACCCACAGGTTGAGAACCGCTTCCTTATAGTGCCAAGAGGCCAACAAAAAAGGGACAATGCCACATCCTGGTGACCGCCTGTTTCACTTCCAAATGTGTCCACGTTTGAGAGTAGAAGGGGGACTGTTAACGACTATGGTGAGCTACAGTGTCAACCAGAACTATTCCAGGCTATTTTTTTTGAAATTATATTTGAGGTATAATTGACCTACAATATCATATCAGTTGCAGGTATATGGCGTAATGATTCAGTATCTGTCTATGTTATGAAATGATCACCACAATAGGTTTAATTAATATATGTCACCATACATAGTTATGGATGTTTTTTTCTCTTGCTGAGAAATTTTAAGATCTACTCTCTTAAGTATCTTTCACACATGCAGCACAGTATTATTAAATGGAGTCACTAGGACATATGCTGTATATTACATCCCCTGACTTATTTCTGTTATAACTGGAAGTTTGTACCTTTGGCCCCCCTTCACTCATTTGCTCCCACCCCAGCAAAACACCACCAATCTGTTTCCTGTACCTATGAGCTTGGCTTTTTTTTTTTTTTTAAATAGAGTCTACATATAAGCGAAATCATATGTTACTTGTTTTTCTGTCTACTTATTTCACTTAGCGTACTTCCCTCAAGGTCCATCCATGTTGTCACAAATGGCAAGATCTCATTCTTTTTAACGACTGAATAATATTCTGTTGTAGTCCAAGCTATTCTCAAAGCATGTAATAATGTTTAGATGATTCCAGTGGGTCATAGCATAACATTTCTTAAGAATTTCTAGGGCAGACGTGATTGAAATCATCTTCTGCTTAAAATATTTTTTTCAGTGGTTCAGTTGCACTCTTTTACACACATTCCTTAGATGTGGATTTAAGGACCACATTTATTTCTGACAAACAAATGCCAGAACGACTCCAAATATCCATGATTGTCACGGTCAATGTACCAAATGTGATAAATATCAGTGATGGTCATGTACTTGTTCGACTCTTCCTGCTGGTTGGTTTACAATTCATTCCACAAATGTTTATTGAACACCAATTGCGCTCAGGCTCCGTGTTACATATCCCTGTTGGAACTGATGGACTCTTACCACGTAATCTGTTCACTTTTCATCAAAAGAAACAAACTTGACTGTTGCAGATTCACCCTGACACCATACATGCAGGGTCCTGTCCTCCATGTCTTTTATGGGGACACAATTCCATGTAGACGTTGAAATTGTTTTCAAAGCACTAATGTGTGTCAGCAAATGGGGGCCGCTTGTCCAGTGATCGCAGTTGGAGTGAGCATCTGAGAGAGAAACTCTGGGGCGGTGGTTCCCTGATCTCCCTCCCACAAACACTCCCCAAGGAGGCTGCTCGGTCGTGGTCTTACATGTCACAGCGATGTTTATGCTAAATAACCTTTTCCTTACAACATGAGAAAAGAAAGTGCAGATAACATTTAGCAAAGAAAAGAGTGCCCACTTATTTAATAATCTGTCTGCAGATCTTCCAACCAAGAAGCAGCAACTACAGGCTTTGAACCTGCTGGTCCTGCTCCTGCCGGATGTGAATCGCGACACACTGAAGGTCAGCGGGGCTCCTTTCCCTTAAATATCCCTCAGAGCCACTGTTTGTGGCAAAACAATATGATGTTGTCATGGAAATATCAGTAGTGACCCATAAAGAAAAGACCTGATTTTAAGGACACATGGGGAAGTCTAACTCTATTTATTTATTTACTAGGTTAGTCATGTTAATGCCATTATGAGGTGTTTTGTGTTTTAAATTTTGCAGTGACATTTCTTCTACCAAAACAGATGATTGAGATTTATTTGTGTGTTTTTTTAACCTATATTTTTTTATTGTAGCTATCTCCCATTCCCACTCTGCCCAGCCCCCTCCCCCTCCCCCCAGGTCTTCACCACCCTATTGTCTGTGTCCATGGGCTATGCACATAAGTATATAAGTCCGTGGTTTATCTCTCCTCACCCCACGCCCCCACATCAAGGTGTGACAGCCTGTTCTGTGCCTCCATGCTTTGGGAGGTTCATTTGTTAATGGAAACGTGGGCGTTTTTTGTTTTTTTTTCTTCTTTCTATTTTCCTACATTTTCAAATTTTATTTAAGGAGCATGTACTACTTTTAGTAAGGTGCAAAATGAATGTTTAAAAAGAAAATCCTAAGAGTCATCACATATAACCCACTGTTGCCTAAAGTTATTACATGTGTTTGGAGTTTGGACTGAGATATAATGATGATTTCCAGTGGTTCTCAACCTTCCTAATGCCGTGACCCTTTAATACAGTTCTTCATGTTGTGGTGCCCTCCAACCATAAAATTATTTTCGTTGCTACTTCATAACTGTAATTTTGCTACTGTTATGAATCGTAATGTAAATATCTGATATGCAGGATGTATTTTCAGGCATTGCGACCCACAGGTTGAGAACCATTGGTAGCCAAAGATAGATGAACTCAAAGAAATTCTAGTTATTTCCCTGAGGGCTTATCCTGAGTTGCTGATGTTTATCATGATTTCAAAATGTTTTGGTCTAATATTATATGATTTAATTCCATCTATTAGAAGTGTTGTCAGAGTCTTTTATAATAATTGGTAGATTGCTCTACATTAATTTATTTTCCTTAATGATGAGAGTTCATAGGGTAGTAAACTTTTATAAAAGAAACAGAGAAAACTTCAAAAGTATAATTTAGAGCCGTGGACAGCGTGGCTCAGTTGGTCAGTTGGTTGAATGTTGTCTCATGCTTAACAATTTGATTCCCGCTCAGGGCACATACCCCGATTTTGGGTTCCATTCCGGTTTAAGTGTGTGTGAAGTGGGCAGAGGGTTGGCAGCCAATCGATGTTTCTCACACCAATGTTTCTCTCTCTCTCTCTCTCTCTCTCTCCCTTCCTCTCTCTCTCTTAAAAAAAAAATCAATAAAAAATTAAATAAAAGTATAATTTAAAAAGAATATTAATCTTAAGTTTTGCCATTGCCTTCAAAAGATTTTTTTTATACAGTTAAGGGTGGAACCCTTGCCCTTTTACCCCCTACATCCCTACTTTTCTTTCTATTTAAAATGAAATATCATGTTAAGAAATTTCATGTCAAGAAAACAAAACTACCAGTTGGTAAATCTTTGGAAATTTCCCCCTGAATCTCATTAAGGTTCCTTGAACTGACACTAGGTGAGGGGTAGTTCTTCCATGCCCATGAATGAATGTTAATCCTCAGCTTGTCTGGATTAAAGCAGTTTTTGAGGATTCTGGAGTGAAAACACTCCATGGCTACAGGAGAACTCCCAAAGAATTAATCCCATGACGAAGTCAGAAAAAATTCTGTGCTTAAATGATTGTCAGATGAGTCATGAGAGCATCAGGTTTGGTTTTGTTTTGGAGGCAGAGGCCAACTCCAGTTAGGGTTACATTCAGGCGTTGTGTGACCCGGTGGCATTGTAGGGGTGACCATGGCGGCGTTGTAGGGGTGACCATGGTGGCTGAGGCAGGGGCAGTGGGCTCAGGACAAAGTGGGACTGGTTCCAGTCTGTTCTCTGCTTGCCGGCTGTGCCCATAACACAGGCTTTAACTCCCCAGAAATGGGGGCTTAATCCTTCTTTTTCTTATTCACATGAAGGTGCCTGTCTGTGTGGGCCTTCGAATGACCAATAGGAGGTGGGAATCGAAAGACACACAATGGACTTAAAATATGCCTGCATTTGAATGAGTTCAAACAGTGGTGGGAGGAAGCACTGCTTCCAATATGGTCACTATTGGGCAAGGCTGGTCTACAGTTCATTTTTGTAGTTTGCCTGCAAAATCTGAGGCACATCATTTTTAAAATTCTGTTTAAGAATATATATATTTTTAAATGTGAGCGGTTTTAATTTTTATATGCAAAGTTACTGGGAGTACAATTTTATAAGTAAGGTTGGAAATACGTTTGGGGGTAAAAAAGTTGGAAAATGCAAACAAGTCATTTTACGATTTCACATAAGCTTTAGTAGTGTAACTAGCCAACTCTGATGAAGGTCCAAACAAGATTTCTAATCACAGAAACAGTGGAACAGGTACCATTTGTACAAGAGAATAAGCCATTTAAATGTAGTCCCATAAAGGAACAGGGGAACTCCATCTGAAAGCAATTTCAGGAAGCTTAATGCAAACTTCTCCCGTCTTTCCAGCCCTCGGACCACGCCCTCAGTTGCCATTAGAGGGAAGGGTATGATTGTGTAGACTATTTCTACAGCATATTTAAAGGAGAGAGGGCACTGGGTTAAACACCATGTTCTTGTTTAAGCATAGAGCTCTGGGCAAGTTGCTTGACTAGGATTTTTTTTTTAAAACTTGGGATTATTGTGCATTTTGATCAATGATCATACCTTTCTTTGACTTGGAAGAATAACAAAGACTGAGGTTAAGATATCAATACGGGACCCATAGGAATATATTTATTGGCATTTGTTTATCCTTTTTGTAGTTTTAAAAAAATATTAAGTGTGTTAGGGTAGCATTAGCTAATAATATTACATCCATTGCAGGTGTACAACTGTATCTTACAATAACTGTGCTCCATGTGTCTGGTCTCCTCCATCACCATGTATTTGACCCCTTTTCCCGCTTCCTCCTTCTCACCCCCACTTCTTCTCTGGTAACCACCATTCTGTTGTCTGTGTCTATGAGTTTGTTTTGTTTGTCCATTTGTTGCTTTTTGTTTTATAGCCCACATTTGAGTGAAATCATATGGTTCTTTTCTTTCCGTCTGATTCATAATACCCACTCTCAAGATCCATCCGTGTTTCCGCAAATGGCAATATTTCACCATTTTACAGCTGAGTAGTATTCCATTGTGGGTATGGCCGCATCTTTATCCATCCAGGACACTAAGGCTCCTTCTATCTCTGGGCTTATTGTGGTGCAATGAACGTAGGGGTGCATATATTTTTACAAATAAGTGTTTTAAAATTTGGGGGGTAGATACTTAGAAGAGGATTACTGGGTCATATGGTAGGTCTAGTCTTAATTTTTTTAGGCAGTTTGTTAACATGTACTGCCTCACTTCATCCTGGCAGGCTAGAAGATTAGTATTCCCACTTTACCGATGAGAAGACCAAAGAGTAGAGATAGCAAAAGGCTTTGCTAGAATCACACATAGCTAGTAAGTAACTGCTGGAATTTAAACTGGGTTTTACACTTGTTTTATAAGAGTCAGTAATACTTATAAAATACCAGGCTGGCGATAGCTACCTTTTTTAAAGGGCAGTTCTTCGAGTTTAAATGAAGAGAAAGTACATCTGAAGATGAAGTTCTTTCAGCAAGGGCTAGGCTAATATTTTATTAATTTCAAATCTACACAGACACACATTCTAATATTCTGACAGTAATATTTTGAATAACCTTATTGCATATGCACACCACAATTAAAATGGTTCATTACCTAATCTTTGTAATTTATGCTCCTAAAGAAAGAGATACACTGATCCCTGAGTAATTATTCTGCTCTATGGAACAGAATTAAATACTTTTTTCCAAACCTCACCGATTAATCTTTTGTCCTCATTTGAGAAGGTATTGTTTCTATAAAATCTTATGCTTGGATTACAATTTAACTTTCTGAGCACTCCACTGGGAATTAAATACATAAATCTCATTGTTAGACACTAAGGCTATGCTTTTAGTTTGTTTCAAATTTTTCAGATCTATATAGCAGCTAAATTTGATTCAAGATCAACCTGTTAGGAGTGTTTTCCCCCTGAAATTCTGTGGGAGATGAATACTTCCCCCCACCCCACCCCCCTTTCCTATTTTGGTATAGTTTATTTGACCTTTTTCAGGTAGGGATTTTAAGCTAAATAAGAAACTGATTTCTTTTAGTAGTTAAGGAATCAGAAACAAAAGCCAAATAGACCTGCCATTACATTGCTTCTCCACCATTTGCTAGCTCTATGACCCCTGGCAAGTTGCTTACATTCTCTTAGCCAATGTTTTCTCATCTGTAAAGTAGGGATAATTACAGCATCAATCTCCAGCAAGGATTAGGTGAGATGAGCTCTCTGGTGTACTTAAAGCAACCTCACCCATAGAGAACACTGAATACCTGTGCAGTGATTGTTATTGTTCTGGAGCAGCATTAATCAAGAAAGAAGGTAAAATAAATAAATAAATAAATAAATAAATAAATAAATAAATAAATAAATAAGAAAGACGGTAAAAGAAGAACTTAGAGCTCTAAGCCCTTTCAGGAGGAGGGTCGTCTTCCTGTGGCTTTGGGGCAGGATAGGCCCAGCGGACACCTGGGTGTTGGGAATAGAGGTGGGAAGTGACTGGTATCAAACTGAGCATAAACTAGCCCGTTCTGGCGAAAAGTTCCTTTTCATTCATTCATTCGTGTGCTTTTTTAAGACCCTCTTCCTCCCCTTGTTCTCCCCATCATAATCCCCATTTGTTTTAGATTTCATGGCAGCTATTGAGTGCCTTAGAGCAAATGGAACTAAGATTAAATGAGCCTTTTTAAGGGGATCGTTTTTGTTTTTTAACCCCCGAAGTTAAAAGAACGCACTTCCTGAAGCAAGTGAATATTTGTACGATATTTTAAACTGCTCCCCAGTGCTCCATAGCTCTGGTAGGCTCTTGGTCTGATACGTCTCTGTTCCTGTCCCCGCTACCTGGTTCAGACACGTGTCCTTTCTGCCCTATTCCCAGCGCCATAGTCTGACCAGACACAAGGCCTCACCTCGGGGTGCGTTCACCAAATGGAGAAGCTTTCATGCCAGGCCTGCTGGGTGTGGCTAGTGGGCTGTGGTCATGCACAACTTTTTTATTAAATTAAAAAAATGTATTTTATTGATTTCAGAGAAGAAGGGAGAGGGAGAGAGATAGAAACATCAATGATGAGAAAGAATCATTGATCAGCTGCCTCCTGAACACCGCACATTGGGGATTAAGCCCACAACCTGGGCATGTGCCCTGACCAGGAATTGAACTTTTGACTCTCAACCACTGAACCATATTGGCTGGGCACAAGTTATTTTTTTAACTAAATAAAAATCCCATATGCTACAGTGCTCTAATCTCTCATCTTCACATACAGCACAAATCTCAAAGAGTCATTTCTCTTTCAGGCCCTGCTTGAATTTCTCCAAAGAGTAATAGACAATAAAGAGGAAAATAAGATGAACGTCAAGAATGTGGCTATGGTCATGGCCCCCAACCTCTTCATGTGTCATGCATTGGGTTTGAAGTCCAGCGAACAGCAGGAATTTGCAATGGCAGCTGGGACAGCTAATACCATGCACTTAATGATTAAGTATCAAAAACTTCTGTGGACAGTAAGTGTATATTTTTAAGCTTTGTTAATAAGTGATGATATCTAGATTCTGAAGTCTTTTTATTAATTGTTATCTTCTCCATAAAAAGGTAACCAACCAATGTAGGTGATTTCAAATGTGATTAAAAAAATTAATATCCATGTGTTAAATCTTTTTAATATTTTAAAATGCTAGCATTATTTTATTATTTCAATTTGGTCACTTCTAAAATATTTTGAGTACTGGTTGTTCTGGGATTATTGCTAGATACTCGTCAGCTCTCGCGTATTTGTGAGTTTTTCTTTCTCTCTTGATGGGAGAGCTGGTTGGCCATTAGACAGGGACTGCAGGTTAGCTGGAGGCGAGGCTGTAGAGAGGTAGCCCCTAATGCCAGTCTCCTCAGGCTGTCTCGTCTTAGCATCCCAGGCAGTGATGACGGCCACTATGTCCTTGAGCCTCTCCAAGCCTCTCCTTGAACTTTGCACAGTCGATGGTGAGCTGCATCCTGCGGATACCATGTGCACATAGTGAATGAATAATATAGTGCATTACGTTTCACCGATGTAGTGCAGAGGGCATGCAAAATGGCATAGTCTCATCAAAGAGATGAAGCCCTTACTAAGTATAATTATTTCCATAGTTTAAAATGCTGCCACTTCTCTTCCCTCCCCAAACTTAATTTCATTTCTCCACAGATCCCCAAGTTTCTTGTCAACCAAGTGAGGAAGCAAAACACCGAAAACCTGAAGAAAGATAGGAAAACAATGAAGAAATTGCTGAAGAAAATGGCTTATGACCGAGACAAATATGACAAGCAAGACAGAAGTACAAATGATGTAAGAATATGTGTTTGCACAGATGTCAGTGTTGTTTTTAGTATCACGCACAGCAAAGAGGTCTGCGTGTGTTTGTTGTATGACTTTCTACACACTCCTAGGTCCTAGCACCACGTGTAAGTGAAAGGCACCCGTGTCAGTGAGCACTCCTGCAGCCGGTAATGCTCGTCTGGACGGTTGCTCAGGTGTTGGGGATTCAGAGAGTGGGCTGCTAATTGGTAACGAAGGAAGGTAAGACCAGAACGTCTCAGCACACACTCACCCACACATACACAACAAAGCACTTCCCGGAGACGCCAGCTGCCCAGGGAGTGTGGAATGTCTAGTGAGTCAAGAGTCCCTTGTGCGGACTCTTTTTCCTTCAGTGTTCTCATCTGTGAAATGGGGAAGAAGAACTAACCCACAAAGACAGAGAGGCCAGTTTGTGTTGTGCCTGGGATGCTCCTGGGCTTTAGTAAGTATTTAAAGGTTCTTCACTGGATCATAAAAAGAATTTGGAGACAATGAAAATATTTCAAAAAAGAAATATTTACAGACTGCTGTAAGAATACATTAAAATCTGGGTTTAAAATCGTGAAATATGCATGAAAACACATTTGGGAAGAGAGTTAACAGAGCTCTAACTTGAAACCTTAACGTGAAATGAAAGGGTTTCTATTGTTCTATTTAGAGTGATGACACCTCCCCCCCATCACCATTGAGGTTAGTCAGTTACATGCTGCCATCTTGTGGCATAATGTGGAAATGCAGTTACCAGCCTTTGATATTTCTGCTTTGGCCTACTTAAGGATCCAGTAATTGAAACAAACAGAAACCTCCTTTATTGATAGCTCTTACTCTTACAAAGTAAAATTTCTTGTCTTTAAATAGTTTTGGTCAATTTTCATGTATCTTAAAAAACAGAATTTAATGAAGGGAAATTATAAATAGTATTTCTATCTTTTTGCAAAAGGGCTTGATATAGGTTAGAAAGGATTTTTGAGATATCATTTCTATTTAACTTAAGATGTTTACTTCTTCTAAAACCACTAAAAGTATTTGAATGTCTTTGTGTTTTGTACCCTCGCTTTTCATATTAACTTAGGTGACTCTATAGCCTTTTTTCTTTTGTACGGCAGATATAACGTGATATTCTGAGGCCCAGTATATAGCTAAGGAAACAGAATTTGTGCTTTACCTTTGTAATAATAACATTTTTAAATAAAAATTAAGAGTTACATTTTGGTAGTATGTAAATACTATTGTCACTTACAGAAAAACAGCATTTACTTGGATTTCTTTAGTTTTACAGCGTGAGCTGGTCTGAGAATTTTCTCTGTACTTGTTAGAAGCTATTTTGTCATTTTAAGACTTGGGATTTAAATCTCAGTTTTATCTTGTATTAGCTGTGACTCAGTTTCTCCATGTTTTGGGTTTCTCGCCTGTGAAATTCAGCAGATCTTTTAACAAAATGCTGCTAAGTGCATTTTGGTTCCAAGCCCACACTCCCTGACAGGCATTCAAAGGTAGATGGGGCTGGCCTCGCCCACAGGGAGCAAGGGAAGGATTGACCTTAGAGGGGCAAGGGAGTGTGATGGAAGCCTGAATCGGGAATATCGGGCTACAGAACAGGAAATGGGCATCCGAGAGACCTCACTGGGGAGCAGAGCTAAGATGTGAAAAACTCTAACTTTACTCTGGCAGCAAACTGAAGGCACAGGTGTTGCCAGCAGAGCAAGCTTCCTCGCGGAGTTGTAGCTGTATGTGGTCATGGCCAGGGAGGTTTGTTCAGCCTGTCGCTTTGGTTGAAAAATTTTAATCAGTTGCCACAGTTTTTTTTTCAAGTGTCTATTATTTTATTAGGGGGGGGTAAATATACATAGGAAACAATTACAGAACAAGAAATAAAGTCCAAGATCATATCCAATACTATGGGTATGTGGTGAGTCACTAAATAATCAGAGTTTTCTGCATAAGTTTCCATCAGTTGCCAGAACTTTAAAGCTAAAAGGTTTAACATTGAAGTCTGGATTTCCATCTTAACTTGACAAATTGTATGTAGGAGCATCCCTGTGTCCCCTCTAGGTAGGGGGCCTTCCCTGCGGGGTAATAATCTTCTGGATCTGAGCAGCAAATGTTCCTTTTGGGTGGAACACAGGCCGACTACTCTGAATAAGCCACTTCCTCCTCCCGCCGTCCCCCACCTCCCCCCCCCCCCCCAACACACACTGTCTTGTTAGTTTGTGTTTCTTGACTATTTCCCCAAATCAATTGAATATGCAGCACAAAACTATAGGGCATGAAACTGCCCGGGATATTTTATTTGTTTGTTAAGCTACTATTTGATGTGTGCCTGTATCTAAGTGGTTGGCCATGGAAGAGGAGCTGGTAAAAGAGGCCCACAGATGGTAGGATGCAAGAGAAAGTTGAAGATTGTAGTGTCTTAGAAGCTTGGAGGTGGAGGGAAGTCAGGGAAAGAGCTTGGTTAGTGGCCCAAATTCTGCAGGGAAGCCAAGTACCGTGCGCATTGATTGGATAGAGGTCCACCAGAGCTTGCATTTGAAAGGCCAGTTGTGACTTTCTCCAAAGCATTGTCATTGCGTGTTGATGGGAGAAGCCAGATTGCCAGTGACTGAAGAATGTAAGACAGGAGGTTGTAGATCATGAAAATTCTTCAAGGTCATATTTTTAAAGCATTCTGTATGCTGTTAATGCTAACTATATATAGTCAGGCATTTATGTTATTAAGACATGCTTGACTAGGTAAATGAATAGTAAAAACCAGGTTGTAAGAGACACCCTCAATCTACTTAATAAGACATATTTTTAATGACTACAGCATATTAATTGTTTGGTACAAATGCAAATTTTTTAATTTCTTAAATACTAATGAGACATCTCTTAATTACTTCAGGAAGAAACACTTTGTGAAAAATAACAAAAAGGCAGACCATTACAAATAACCATGTAATGATAGCCTTCAATTATGTAGTTGGGATTGAGATCACACCCTCCCACACACAAACACACCATGCACACATGCATCTACGCACCATCACACATCCGAAGCGTGTGCTTGAAGACATAGCCCCAGCTCTGCTATTCGTGAGACAGTAGTGACAAGTCATTTAACATCTCTGGGCCTCAATTTCTTCTACAAAATGAGAGGGTAAGGCCAGATTAACGGGGTTTAACCATAAGTATGGCTAGCAGCATCTTGTACTGGGACAGTTCTATATGTACTATTACGAGATTTTCCTAACATGCACAAAAATAGAATAGCCTACGAACCCCCCTAAACCCATCACCAATAATCAGACTCATTTTTCTGATCTTATTCCATCTTGTCTCTCACACCTTTTTTCTCCTTTTAGTATTTTTAAGGAAAATAGAGATATCCCATCCTTTCCCCCATAATTGCCTTAGATGGCATCTTTGCCTGATAAGGACCCAGAGCAGCTTTGGTGAGCATCTAGTCATGAATTACTGGATCCTGCAAGCCTCCAGTCCATGGAGGCTTTTTTTGTGTGTGTCAGTCAAGCTCACCTCTCAAAGGAAAGGGAAGCTGTACGTGTAGGAGAGCGTGTGGGCACACAGTGGGGCTCTGTGAGAGTCTGTGAACTAAGCCAAACTGCTCAGCACATCTGTCCTCACTGGTAGAGGGAACAAAAGTCCTCTCCCCTATGGTTACCTCAGTGTTAACTCAGGGTGATCTAGTGTCATACTCTTCATTGATAGTTGAACTCAAGTTTCAGAGAGCTAGCCTGACGTGCCGATCGCTCCAGAACAATCTTGTAACATTTGAAGGTCGAGCTTTGGACATGGGAAAGAAACCCAGAAGAACCCTGGAGTGGTCAGTGCAGAGTGGGCTCCGGGTCCTTTGTGATGGGTTGTGTGTCTTCAGGCAGATCTCCATGTAGAAGTCCATCTCTGGTTTCACTGGCAGCTCTGCCCCGGGCATTGTGGCCGGTCTTGGTTCAAGCATCTGCTTTAGGTCTGGAAACAGTGTTTGGATCTACTTGGGACCCATGTGGAAAATCAAGCTCAAAATCATGTTTCTTTTAAAGATAGCCTTTGATTTTTTTTTATATAGTGCATAAAAATGCCATATTAAAAGAGAAAACTATCAGAGCTTATTTCTTTGTAAATTAAATGCTTATTAACTCTGAATGCCCTTTCAGACCCTTCTTTAAAATTCTCTGAATCTGTGAGTTGGGTAAAAGTTTCAGTATTTGGATAACCAAGGCCCAATTATAATCAGAACAGAGACAGTTCAAGGTAGTAGAGAATGCCTTCTATATTTTTACCTCCAATCAGACTAATATGATGAATATGCCATTTTAGTTTAAGATACCTTGCTAAAATGTCCTTGTTTAATTTTCTAAAATATGTGTTATGCTGTCTGGCTGTTTTTTGAGATAGCTGTATTCCCGATTTGCCCTTTGAAGATAAAAGGTTTCTCTGTAGCATGAAAAATGTCAGCTTTTCATTTAAATTAGCTGTTAATTTTTTTAAAAAATGATTGAATGCCTTTTCTAAAGCTCTGACATTGTATTTTTAATCTCTAGAGTGCAAAAATAGGAGCAATGTAGTGTTTATCTACAACTTATGAAAAACACACACCAAAATCTTTGTTTATTTATCCAAAGAATAATAAATAAAATCACATTTTTAGAAATATGCTTGAGTTCAAAATGTAATACATATAACAACCCTAGGAGATAATTTTCTCTATTATAATAGTCTTTGCATGCATAAGAAATTAACTAGCATTTTGTAAGTTGTAAAATCCTTTGTGACTCAATTTTAATGGAGTATTAGTCAAATATTGCTCTTTTCTAGTCTTGCTGTACATACATAACTTCAGTTCACAAGCATGCGTGCGCACACACACACACAAGGAAGGTTACAACGATAATATTATTCACAGATCCAGTTATTATTATGGCTCAAGTTAAGAACAGACTGTTTGGCTTAATGATCAGGCATGTGTGTATGTTCAAAGTTTGGCAGCTCAGTGTAATTAGTATACTAATAGCTTTAGTGTTTGGTACAGCATGATTCTGGAGCTTAATGGTAATTGTCATACACCATTTAAATGAGAGCTTTGGCATCGCGTATTGTTTATCATCTTTAGTAACTATCATTTGGCCACTCTTATCAAGATATCCAGGAAAAACTTTCCAGAAACAATTTTTAATCGCTTCTTCTTTAACCGTTACATCTATCAGTTAAACTCATTTCTTCTCCAACTGTAAAGGGCACGGTAGAGTCCAAACTGAGTCACTCTCAGTCTTTACATTGTTGTGAGAATTTGGATGGGATATGTTACCACAGAAATGAACACTCTGAGAGTTGTTCCTATGCCCACCCGGACACACACCTCCCTAGTAGAACACAGGTTCCTAGTTGTCAGGGAATGTGGCCAGTCAGCCTGGGAAGGTGCTATGTGCCATTGGCCTGGGAAAAAGATTTTCAAGGGCAATGATACTTCATTTCCATGTGAAATGAATCCAAATTGTAGTTAGTCATTTGGGAAGGGTTAAACTCATCCAGAGCTGGCCAGGCAACACCTCCTGCTCACTGAGGGGAAGGGTGTGAGAAATGTTTAATTCCACAGCTACAGGCCATAACACGGCAGGTACATATGCGTGAGAACTCTTGAGTGCTCCCAGGACCTGCTACCTGGGCCCCTTCCCTCCAAACTCTAATTATCAGAGAGGCTCTGGGTTCCCATGTCAGCTATGGAACTGAGTCCACACGGACCCCTGGGCTGTGTTTATAGGGAAGGATGGCCATACTCTCCAAAGGATGGTCCCTGAACTCACGGAGAACCTGTAGGCTGTGGTCATATTATGGGGCCTTCAGTTGTCCATGAGCTTCTTGGAGAAAAAGGAGCTGCATCCTTAAGCAGATGCAGGCGAATGCTGGCAACTCCCTGCAGGAGGAAATGACTGAATTATCCCTGCAGCGTCTTTAATTCCGGTTCCCACTCTTCTTCCCTTCCTGTGTGTTCTCAGGAGGGGAGGGAATACCGTGTGGTCGATAGAGGCAACTGAACTGGTGTCTTTTAAACAATGTTCCTAAAACGACTTTTTTTGCTAATAAGGAAGTACACATCGTTATACTTTCTTTTATTCTAGAGACATTTTACTATTATTAGCATACCAATTTTAGTGAGAAATATTTTTGAATGATTTGTTTAATCAATCAACATTGATAGATGGCTACAGATGTGACTCAGACATGCGACATGTGACTGGGATACTGGTGTCATGTATGAGGGTTTCCATAATAAAAGAGATTCAGGGGAAGGAGGAGTTCCCTTTGACCCTGTGGACTCTGGAAAGTTCCATGGAGTTTGAGGTATTTGAGCTGGGTCTTAAAAATTGATAGTGGGATATTTCAGAGGTGAAAGAGAACATACATAAAACTTGGAAAGCGTGGTGTTTATAGCGAATTTTGACTGGCCTTTTGCATTCAAACCGTAGACTGTGCCACAAGGACTAATGGGGGGAAAGGCAAGAAGCAGAGTAAGGTTGCCGTATCCCTAAACTCTCTATGATAATATATTATTTTTCTGGGTTATTTTGCTTTTGTAACTCACTTACTGTGGACCTTCTAGATATGAAAGCTTAATCATCTCACCTTACTTCACTTTCTTTTCTTTTTCTTTTTTCTGAGAGGAAGGAAAAGTGAGAGAGAGATAGAAACATCAATGATGAGAGAGAATCATTGATCGGCTGCCTCCTGCATGCCCCCTACTGGGGATCGAGCCTGCAACCTGGGCATGTGTCCTGACCAGAAGTCGAACTGTAACCTCCTGGTTCATAGGTTAATACTCAACCAATGAGCCACACTGGCTGGGCACCTTACTTCACTTTAAATGTCAGCATATAAGATATAATTATCGGAACAATTTTTGCCACTATTACTTTCACCAAGAAAACCTATATCCAAGAATATTGGGCACTATGACTTAAGCAGAACTCCCTGGCTTTTAAATCAGGTATAGAGTAGATGACAGTCTGCAAACCCTAGCTTGCTATTCCAGGCCTGCTGTAATTCAATAATAATAAACTAACAGTTTCTAAAATACCAATATTTGTGTCCCTAACTGAGTAGACGAGGTGGGTTGGGTTTTGGGAACATGGATTCCGTGCTTCAGCTGTTGCTGTTAAAGGGTTCACTCCGGCATTCGAGTCCGGGGCCAGCTCATTGTTTCCCATGTCCTCTGAGGAAGCGTGGTGGAGGCCAGGCTGGCAGGCAGCACGGCCTCAACAGGACAGAAGCCGAGATGAAACCCCAGGGAGAAGAGCATGTCGTGTAATCCCCGAGTTCTAAGATATAGCGTTGATGTGATAACTGCTTTGAAAGGAGAAGGTAACCACACTCCCTTGTGGAATGCCCAGTTCATTGTGAGAAGTGGCTCACTTTCCAAAATGTTACAAATGGAAATAAAATCTGTCACAGACTTGAAGAAAAAGGGAAGTCAGACCTGTATCCTAGAAGCAAGGTGGAGGTCAGACACTAGAGCAGCTATCAGGCCATACTCCATGCCTCCGAAATTGGAAGGCAGCAAACCAAGGCAGGGGTCCCGGTGCAGAGGGGCAGAGGTCGCAGGAGGTGAGGGATCTGGGCACAGGTTAGGGTTGGGATGTCTTTTAGGGATCAAGTTGAGCATAAAACCCCCAGGCAGAGAAGTTAGACAAGGATGCTAGGAAGGCAGTCCCTCACTTGGCAGGGGAGTGAGTGGGTGGCCCCTAACGCTTTGTCTCTGTCTGGGTTGGACCTGATACACCTGAGGCCCTTCACTGAGTGGTCAGGTGACTGTGACAGGGTTTCTGAGGTGGCACCAGGCCCTCTATGGTCTCTCTGCAGGTGTAACAGGTGTTTGCAGCCCTGCGAGGAGGTCTTACACAACCCGTGCTCCCTCGTGCAGTCTTTTGCAGTGTAGCTTCTTTCCTGACGCCCACACTACATCCCAGGTGTTACTGAGGAGCAGTTTTAAATCTCTTGGAGACGCCTACATTTTTACGCAGCCTAATTCCAAAGCCATATTATTTTTGATGAACTTAGAAATCGCATTGATTCCTCCTGTGTTGTATCCATGCTGTATGTTTGGGGAAAATAAAGCAATTCAAGCCCATGTACATTAAAAAAACTATTGTGAGCCCCAAAATAATATTGTGCAATAAAGGACTTGTGTCTTATTTATCTGCTAGACAAGTAGACTTAGCACAATGCCTAGTACTTAGTAGATGCTTAATAAATTTGAGGGTATTTGTAATGTATAAAGCATTATTTTTAAACATTTGTGCAGGCTGTTTTTCCAGGGTCTGATTAAGACATATGGTTATAAGTAATAAATTATTTTAGCAGAATGATTAGGGATTAATTAAGCCTAATATTTCAAATGCCATAGCTGATATTTTGATTTACAATCCTCAAAATATTTCCCTGCTATCCCTCCAAATACATATCATAAATTCAAAGTGTGTGGTCACCCTGTGAGCTCATTAGTTAAGTGAGGATCAAACACAATGCCAATGTGTTAGAAGAGTGTGTTTCTCTTTAATTTTACTTTAATATTCTCAGGGACAGGAATTTTTTGTCAAATGTTGTGAATGTGCTGGAAGATTTAAAAAATGCACACATTGAAGCAGCGCACAAAATACCTGTTCTGATGCAGTGTCATCAATTGCTGCATGAAGAAGCACCCTCCCCTAGATAACCCTCAGAAGTCGGCATTAATATGGCAGTAATGGTTATTGCTGTCATTCTTTACATCTTTAAAAATAATTAAGCATTACTGCACAGGCATTATAAAGTTCCCCTATCACCATTAAGAGGATATTTGAGGTTTGATGTAATTTAGCAAATTACATTATACAGTAGTTAAGGTTTTTATGTAGTGAAGTGAAATGCAGAGAGTAGTTAAGCACACTTACCATGTAATGCATTGCACAGAGTCCCAGGTTCCAGCTGCCGCCAGCTTTGTTCCAGTGTCATTATTGCCTTGCAGGCTGACGTTCCTCAGGGAGTGATTCGAGTGCAAGCTCCTCATCTTTCCAAAGTTTCCATGGCGATACAGCTAACGGAAGAACTGAAAGCCAGTGACGTGCTTGCCAGGTTTCTCAGCCAAGAAAGGTAGAGGCCTGTTTTGTTTTAATTATTTCATGGTATAACTCACTTGCTTGCGTGTTCCCTCCCTCCCTTGCCCCTCCTTTTTTTAAAAAAAAAACTATGGGTGGTGTAAAGTGCATAGAATTGTCTTTTCAGCAGAGAAGAGGAGCAGACTTAACAGTTCGACTGTCGGAATGAGTCGAGTTCACCTGATGTAGTTTGTGTTTGCGTTGAGCCTGTTTCAAGCGGGATGTCCGAGCATCCCTTCAACGGCCTGCCGGGCTTGGCTCACAAGACCACGTGGTAGTCCTTCCAGGCTGTGGTGATTGGGGGTTAATTACTGTGTGTTAGGCTGATCACTAATTGGGATACAGCAGGATCAAAACAAACAGAAGACACATCTTTTTCTATAAAATATGATGCGTAAAAATGCTTACATTTAAAAGCAGAAGGTGAAGAATTCAGGGAGGACAACCAGCCCCTGGAGCTCCTGCCCTCAGTGAGTCGCCCAGCCTTCCCCTCTGTTCTGGGGCGGGCGGGGCATCTCTCCGATGATATCAGAGCTTACACTTACCTTCTCTTGAAATTTCAACGTTCAAACAAGTGTATTGGGTTTTCGGTTTTTAGCCTTCGAATTCTTATTTTCAGCTAAGGTTATATTTGTAATGCCCTCCCCCTCCCCATGTCCACTCATTGAAAATGAACTGATCTACATTTTTAAGAAGCCAGGGAAACTGGGGCCTTGCCATCTCAGCCCAGGAAAGTTGTCTCAGCTTTCCATAGACTTCGATCTCCTCGCGTTAACATTCAGGGCCTCCATGCGGCTTTCTTCAAATGCTCTCCGATTGTCACACAGTTACCACCAGCCCGTACTATGTCTCTGCTCCGTGGAAGGCCCTCTGCTCGATGTTGAAAGGGGCATAAAAATATATTTTAAAGTATCTCCCCTCGGGCTTTATAAAGTGGGAAAAGAGATGAGCCTGCGTAGTGAGCAGATGGTGATGAAATAAAAGAGAGGCTTATTGGTAATATCTGGGCTTTCAGGAAGCCAGCGTGAACTTCCCTCTCAGCAGCTCTCCAAAGTAAGTTCTCACATTACTTCTGTTTTCCTGATGAGAGAGACTTTCCAAGGCCACGAATTTTGTAGGCGGTGGAGCTGAGTTCTACATCTGTGGTTTCTGTCTCCAAAGACAGTCCTGAACCACTGTCCAGTGGTTCTCAACCTTCCTAATGCCGCGACCCTTTAATACAGTTCCTCATGTTGTGGTGACCCCCCAACCATAAAATTATTTTCGTTGCTACTTCATAACTGTAATTTTGCTACTGTTATGAATTGTAATGTAAATATCTGATATGCAGGATGTTTTTTCATTGTTACAAATTGAACATAATTAAAGCATAGTGATTAATCACAAAAACAATATGTAATTATACATGTGTTTTCCGATGGTCTTATGCGACCCCTGTGAAAGGGTCGTTCAACCCCCAAAGGGGTCATGACCCACAGGTTGAGAACCGCTGGGCTAGGGTCTTAGAGACCATCTCTGAACTGGGGCTCATTGGTGCCGAGTCTGGGAGCAGATGGAATTTGGGGGGATTAAGTTCAGGGGCAGTTAGAATTTCTCAGGATTAAGTCCTGGGAGCAGTTGGAATTTTTCAGATGTCTTTGCTCCCCAAAGGGTCTCTGACCTAAAATGCAGTCAATCTGCTTCCTCTCTACCCCCTGCCATGGCTTAGATGCCAACTGCTGCCAGTGTCCCCACCAGACTGTGGGAAGAATTCTTCCCGTCCCAGACGGTGTACCTGGAGGTGTGGCCAGACTCCAGATGGAGGCTGCCCTTCCAGGCGGGATCGGACTAATTTACAGAGCGCTTGCTTTCAGGACACTAGTGCTCAGTGTAGTCGGCACGTTTCTTCCTCTATGTGCAGATAACACAAGATGTGGTGATGACATTGTATATTACATTCAACTGTGCCTTTTAATATTTAGGGTATTATAGAAAGCACCAGCTTTGTGATAGTTGCCCTCTGTATATTTGGATTTTTAGTAAAAGCTGGTGGTGCTTTTACTAAATGAGCATTTGCTACCCACTGGGGCAGACTCCTTCTATTTCCTCCCTTTTCCCCAGAGGCAAGTCCAGTGAACTCTGCCCATTTGCCTCCTCCCCACCCCCCAAGTCTTCAGCCCCTTTCCTTATGCTTGGGGGTGCCGGAGGCCAGTGATTTAGATTAAAATGCCAGCTTTTCCTATTTCATCTTAGGCTAGTTTTTAGAATGTCTTTAAATTTCAGGTTCCCCATTTATAAAAGTGAACTATGATAGGACTTACATTATAGTCTTATGATGATTAACTAGGAAAATGACCATGAAGCACACAGCACTGTCTGCCTGGGCCATCTAATAATTGAAATGCTCAATAAATGTTTATATATATATATATATATATATATATATATATATATATATATCCCCTCACACACTATTTCCCCTCCTTCTCCCATTTGCATTCCACCTGTGTGGGGGTGGTTGGAAGCCCTACTTTCGTCCATCCTTGTCCTCCCCTACTTTTTCTACCAAAGCCAAAAGCACATGAATGACATAAAATAGATGCACAATAAAATCACATTCACTCACCAGTCTTTGATAAAGGCTGTTTCCTTTTCTTTGTGTGTGGACTTGTTGATTAGTATTACGTTTATGTGTACCAGGAAATCTAGTTTATGTGTCTCTCAATTGGAACAAGAACACAGATAATGGGGAAGCAATCTGAGAGCAATATTGGATGAGATTTTTTTAAATCTAGTCTCCCAAAACATTCAATTTTGTTTTCATAGGAATAATGACTCTTGGTATACTCATGGTTTACCAGGAAATGTACTACAGTATAAATAAAAATATAATTATTAAATTATTTAATTTTAAAAATAAGCATACACCAGTTCGACCAGTTCGGAAACAAACATCTTCTAGTTAGGATACAAGTCAGCGGTGGGTCTTACGCGTGAGGACATTCTATGTCCCTGAGCGGAGTGGAGTAGACAGAGTTGGATAACCAGCTAAGTCATTCCATGGTTGGTTAGAAAAGCTTCTGCCGTGCCGTATTTTTCATAACAGTTTGGATAAAAGTCAGACTTGGTTTTCTCTTCTCAGTTCCAGGGAATGTGTCTTCAGGGCCTTATATGAGTGGTTCACAAACTTTTCTATGCATCAGCACCCACTACAGAGCATTTAAAAAGATTCTTGGGCTTCATCTAGACCAGTGATGGTGAACCTTTTGAGCTCGGCATGTCAGCATTTTGAAAAACCCTAACTTAACTCTGGTGCCGTGTCACATATAGAAATTTTTTGATATTTGCAACCATAGTAAAACAAAGACTTATATTTTTGATATTTATTTTATATATTTAAATGCCATTTAACAAAGAAAAATCAACCAAAAAAATGAGTTCGCGTGTCACCTCTGACACGCGTGTCATAGGTTCGCCATCACTGATCTAGACATACTAAACCAGAGTTTTCAGAGCTCTGGGGCAGAATTCTTAGCAGGTTTTGCAGGTAAATAGTATACAGAGTTTCGAAAACCACCAAATTTTACCAGTTTTTATTGTTTGAACCTAATGTCTGGAATAGCTTATTCTTTGAAGAGTTTGACCCTGTAAATGCACCCTATGGTAAAGTATTCGCTTCTACTTTGAGTGTATATACCTCCCATATTTTGATGGCCAAAATGGGGAGGTTTATGAGCCATGTCCAATTTTTTACATTTATCTTACATAGCATTAGACCTGTCAGCACAGCAAACCCCTGATAAATACTATGGAATAAATGTATTGGGAAAACTAAGGTGCAAATATTTCTTTTCCTAGTTTTAGGAGGACCTTTTTGGTCCCTATGCTAAGTAGATGATCGTATTATTTTATTGGCAACTAAAATGTTATGGTACCTTCTTTTTAATTTTACAAAGTTAAATATTCACTTATTCGTGCTTTTAGATGTATGATTCCATTTGTTCATTTATATTTATTTTTCATCTTTTATTGTTGAAAGTATTACATTTGTCCCCTTCTCCCTCCCCCCCACCCCATTGATTTCTTCTAGCCCACTCCCCGCCCCTCCCCAGGCCTTCACCACCCTATTGTCAGTAACCCTGGGTTATGCATATAAGTTCTTTGATTGATCTCTTCCCATGCATCCACCCTCCCCTGCCTTTCCTCTGCCATTTGTTTATTTTAATTTGCAGGTGTGACATTTTTATTACATATTAGGCACATTTAACAGATGGGAAAATACAAATGTGGAGATAATTACAGTGTGTCTAAGTTATGAATTTTCCATACAAGCTAGAATTCCCCGAACACATTAAAGTGATTTACTTGCAAGCTGTCTGATGATATAACTAATCCGTTTGTTTTGCCCCTTATAGTGGGATTGCCCAGACACTCAAGAAAGGGGAAGTTTTTTTGTATGAAGTTGGAGGGAATATTGGTAAGCACATTTTGTTTGTTTGTTTGTATTTCTTATGCTGACTTGACATTGCCAATGATTATTATTTATATGTATTTATATCTTTGTGGGGAAGGGAAGGTAGAAGTAAAATATAGCATGGTGTACATTGTTGATGAATATTATGGATTTGTTTAGTGGTCTGGCCTTTCTCTTCTGACTTTGAGCTCCTTCTGTACAAATTCCCATCCATGTTGAATCTTGGCAAAGGCAAGTTTCCTAAAATAGATATAATTTCTAGAATGGTTAATAAAGTTTTTCAGAACTTTTTTCTTTTTTATATGCTTATGTCACATCTTAATAAAGGAAGTTGTTGAGCTTATTTAAGACCAAGATAACACATTTATTATAGTACAGTACTAGATATTTTTAGTGAAAGCAGAAGTTATTTTTGCCATTGCTGATTGCCTACTAAACAGTACACACACATATGTTAGTAATTTAGGGAACAGAAATAGGATAAATGGATTAATTTTGACCATGTCCTATATTTTATTTGCCTACTTTTTGTACTCATGGCGTTATTAAAATTTAAAATAAATGTTTCCCCCATTTTTTTGACCCTTATAATGGTAAGGGTGAATTGTTAACAAATAAATGAAATGGTATTTATTTCAAAATAGTAATTGAAAATATCTTAAGGTAAGTTTTGTAGAATTCTTTTTTTAGGACTTAAAAATGTTAGTAAATGTTAAAAGTTGAATGCAGAGACATGAAGGCTCATTTTTAAAGTTTAAATAAGCCACAACTCCAGTAGAAACCTGGAATTGTTACCTTGACTTGTAAGGGATATTTAAATATTTTATTTTGTATTTTACTCTTAGATTGTGGGGAATTAAGTGTGATTTCTTTCTTAGGTGGATTCAAAACTGTTGTCACCCTTAGTAAAGGTGAATACACTTTTAAGGAACCATTTAAAAGCCTGACATGCAAAGTATTTTCAACTTCCTAAATTAATTTGAAACGTGTGCATTTATAGAAAGACCACAAAACTGGCTTCTCCAATGTTTTTTGGCCAGTTTTACTAGTATAATTTTATGGGAGATATCAAACAATGAAAAATATTTAAAGTCTAAGACACAGGCTTAAGTTTAAAATTGCACCCCAGTCACCCCACTGTATTAAACAAATGCAACATGTCGTTAATAGGGGAACGCTGCCTCGATGATGACACTTACATGAAGGACTTATATCAGCTCAACCCGAATGCTGAATGGGTTATAAAGTCCAAGCCATCGTAGAAGCCCTGCTGAGACAACCCCCGGACTTCCTCAGTGATACTTGCTGGGTAAAGAGTGTAAATAAAGAAACCGCAGGACTCTTGCTATTCACATGCACCCAACCATTGGATAGTGACACTCCCAAGCCTCAAGAAGTTATAGATTTGTGCTGCTGCCAGAATTATGTTAATTATTATGTTGACTATTACTAGAAAATAAATATCTCTGGAGTGAGAGGAGAGAGGCTTAATGAACTTGTAGGCTGTTTTCATAAACTCTGTGAAATGTGCCCAGATGTGACATAGTGGTTTTTTTTTTATATATGAAATAAACCCTCTTCCTGCTCACTATTTTTTTTCTCCTAAAATCATGTATACAGTAATATATGCTTTCTTGCTTTTCTCTCCTCCTCACATCTGCCTGACCCCGATTAAGTTTGCTTTTTAATGGAAAGGATAACAAATGCCAGGTATGGCAAGTTGTGAAATTAGGACAGCTTAAAACAGCCCGAATTCAACAGAATTCCTGTGACTATCACATGTTGAATATTCATCTCTTTGAATCATTTGTTCAAAAGATAACATTCTCCTTCTCCCTGCTGTATCATATGAAGTGATTTGCATTTTTTTCAGTTCATCTGACATATGTGCACAGAGCTGTATCCACTACCAAGAAAATAGAACTGTCAGAAACTGCCAATTACCCCTGAACCATTAAAGACTTGCATACTAAGAATAAATAAAATATGTCCATGTGGAATAACTGGATTATGGATAATAAGCAAGTGAAAGCCAAATCACTTCATGTATGCCACCCTCTTCTAAAAGAAGTTTAAAAAGTCCTAGCCAGCTTTACCTATTCTCATACTAGGGATATAAATATGCATGAGAGTCTAATCCAGGAATGGCTGAGAGTGTATTCTACCCAAAGAGGGAATTTTTTTTTTTTTTTTAACTCATAAGTAAGTCTGCGGGAAGAGTTATTCCTCTGGGAATGACACAGTCCTATGAACAAGCTTTTGTTTGTGTACTTATTTTAAACAGAGTAAATTTATTAAAATGCTGCAACAAGTACTATTCCCAGGGATTTTACTGCACAAACCATAGTGCGACAAGAGATGAGCCTCTCTGTACTGTAAATAAGAGGAATAAAGTGAGAGAAAAATGTTCAATATTTTATGAGTGTAGAGTGTAGTAAATAAAAGGTGATGTCTATGAGTGCTGCACAAACCGTGTTTATGATACTTTTAGTAGTATTTTAGGAAAAAATGACACATTCTCAGAAGCTCTCGATGTCACTCTAATTAGGAGGGAAAATGTTGTTAATGAGAACGGTCATAAATTTTTAGCATATAATTACAAGAACAGCCTGTGGATATATGATCATTTAACTTTTTGGTGATTTGTGCCATTGCCTTTTTATTTAAAATTTTTTTATAATTAAATGAATTTTTCTAAATTATCTTCTCTTGGAATTATTACTTTTAGTCCTACGTGTTCATGAGTGTACTAATGGGCTAATTTTGTTCTTGTTAAAAGCCATTTCTACCCTCTTATTGCCCCTATTGCTCCTGTGGAATTTTCCAAATGGGAAGACCTGAGGGAGATAGAAACTGTTTCCTTCTTTAGTTTTGTTTTCTTAGCAAATTTCTGTTCTTTAAGATTTTTCAAAACACACTGTATTCTGGTTCTGATTTTGATGATCTATATTAATTTCCCAGTTGGCAAGCAGTACTAATGGTTTAATTTTATGAAAGCAGTTAACAACATAAAATCAAGGGCTTAAAACAGTTTAGGTATACAACTTCAAAAAAGGCAGTAGTGAATATCATGGTTTAGATAAATGGTGTCCTAAATTGTATGTCAACTAATTTTTACCATATTTACAACCCCCGGCAGATGAGGGTGGGCGGCAATAGGTTTTTTGATAATGACCAAGTGCCAGATCTTGGTAAATAAATATGAAAATGTCATTTTATTTTGACTTTTTCTTAGAACTCATGACCCATGGCCCACGTTCATTGACACTGAACAATACTGCATTTAAATGATTAATATAGATGTCTAGCTGCACTTCTAAAGAGGAGAAACTTGATAGTGTAGAGCCTCACAGGTTATTGCCTTAGAATTAACCCAAACGCTTATTTATTTATTTATTTATTTATTTAGAGAGAGTGGAAGGGAAAGGGAGAGACAGAGATAGAGAAACTTTGATGTAAGAGAGACACACATCAATTGGTTGCCTCCTGCATGCACTCCAAACTGGCTGGGAATCAAGCCTGCAACCTAGGTACCTGCCCTTGACCAGAATCGAACACAAGACCCTTCAGTCCTCAGGCCGATGCTCTGTCCACTGAGCTAAATTGGCCAGGGCCCAAATGCTTTTTTGTAATTATTTTTTCTAGTAAATTTTACTGAGAGTAGATTAGTTTTTATTTGCTTGTCTTGATGGAAATAACTATATTTGCTTTGAGCCTCAAACATCCTAACTTTTAAGGGAGTTTCTGGTGAAAGGTAGAGAGAGAGTATTTATAGAAAACTGGTTGCCCTGCACTCTTTGGGAAAAGCAGTTTATTTTCTGACTTACTGGGATTTTTCATTATTGTCTTTTCCTACTTTTCCTTAAACTGGGTTGCAATTTCAACCTCATTGTCCTGATTTCTCACCTACTGATCAGTAGGTGGCAGTGTTGGTCAGGGTTTCCTTTATGGCTAAACTGGGAAGCTTTGAAAGTGAACTTGAGTTCAAAGGTAAGCTGTTCAGATTTCGGTGCTGGTTAGGTAAGAACACCATGGATCTCTCATTTTGATCTCTCATTTTAATTCTGAAAATTGTAAATTATAATTCATTTCAGAATTTCTATGTTTAGTCTATTAGTCTGCTTTTATCCTTAACCTGCTGAGTGGAGAAGTTTTTCTGGGCAAGAATTAGACATCTTGGCAATGTCTATTTCAAGCAGAAGGATCATAATGAGGAAAGACAGTGCACCAGGAAGGGAAAAAGAGGGATGTCTAGGATAGAGGACATAACGGCCTCTGTCTTTATTTTAGTATAAACGTGTGTGTGTTTGTTTTTTATTCAGCAAATATTAATTGGCTGCCAATATGTATGTGCCAGGCATGGCCTGCCCTTGAGGTACCTCAGTGAGCAAAATAACTCTGATAGAACTTAGAGTCTAGTGGAGGGAGACAAATAATAAGTAAAACAAAATGTATTAGTAAGTAGATAAAATTATGTGTATGTTGAAAGGGTGTAAGTGCAATGGAGACAGAAAAAAAGATGAGCAAGGCAACGGGACCAGAGAGGAGGACAGGCTTCTTGCAGTAGGAAACAGGGTCTTTAATGGACATCTAGTAAGTAGAGCAAAGACTTGCAGAAGGTGAGGAGCCTGCCACATGGATACCTAGGAGAAGAGCATTCCAGGCAGAGGGGCAAACGAGAACAAAGGCCCAAGGCAGGAGTGCAGCTGACTTACCAAAGATCAGCAAGGGCACAGCGTCGCTGGTGGAGTGAGGGCCAGTGAGAGCAATAGGTGAGGTCCAAGGTAACAGGTGGCAATGGGGTTGAGACTTCGGAGAGCCTTCTATTTATTAGTGGAGCTAGAATTTACTCAAATTAGGACATTTTTGAGAGGATAGCAAGATACTTGGTAAGGACAGTTATTAGGGAGTGATAAGAAGTAGCAGATTCTAGACATATTTTTTGAAGGCAGAGCTGGCACAGCCATGGCATACTCAGTCCCACGTTGGGCGCCTTATGTGCCGCGCCAACTCAGCCAGGTTTGGTGACCCTGAGAGGGGGCGGTGAAGGATTGAGAAAAGACAGACAAGAGAAGAAACCTGGGTCTGGGTGGGAGGCTGTCCTCTCTGATGGAGAGCTAGCAACAGTGCCACGGACTACAAGTCGTGTCTTTATTTTATAGCCAGATTCCACGAGGCAAAGTAAGGGTGTGGTCAAGACATTTAACATTCTTTTTTTTTTTCAATTAAATCTTTATTGTTCAGATTATTACATTTGTTCCTCTTTTTTCCCCCAATAACTCCCCTCCTCCCAGTTCCCACTCCACCCTCCGCCCTCACTCCCCACCCACTGTCCTCATCCATAGGTGCACGATTTTTGTCCAGTCTCTTCAGCATCTCCCACACCCCTCCCCCCCCCCAAGAATAGTCAGTCCATTCCCTTTCTATGCCCCTGATTCTATTATAATCACCAGTTCATTCTGTTCATCAGATTATTTATTCACTTGATTCTTAGATTCACTTGCTGATAGATGTGTATTTGTTGTTCCTAATTTGTATCTTTACCTTTTTCTTCTTCTTCTCTTCTTAAAGGATACCTTTCAGCATTTCATATAATACTGGTTTGGTGGTGATGAACTCCTTTAGCTTTTCCTTATCTGTGAAGCTCTTTATCTGACCTTCAATTCTGAATGATAGCTTTGCTGGATAAAGTAATCTTGGTTGTAGGTTCTTGGTATTCATCACTTTGAATATTTCTTGCCACTCCCTTCTGGCCTGCAAAGTTTCTGTTGAGAAATCAGCTGACAGTCGTATGGGTATTCCCTTGTAGGTAACTGAGTTTCTTTCTCTTGCTGCTTTTAAGAGTCTCTCTTTGTCTTTTGCTCTTGGCATTTTAATTATGATGTGTCTTGGTGTGGTCCTCTTTGGATTCCTTTTGTTTGGGATTCTCTGTGCTTCCTGGACTTGTAAGTCTATTTCTTTCACCAGGTAGGGGAAGTTTTCTGTCATTATTTCTTCAAATAGGTTTTCAATATCTTGCTCTCTCTTATCTTCTGGCACCCCTATAATTCTGATGTTGGTACACTTGAAGCTGTCCCAGAGGCTCCTAACACAATCTTCGTATTTTTGGATTCTTTTTTTCATTTTGCTTTTCCGGTTGGGTGTTTTTTGCTTCTTCGCATTTCAAATCTTTGACTTGATTCTTGCGCTCCTCTGGTCTGCTGTTGGGAGTCTGTATAATATTCTTTATTTCAGTCAGTGTATGCTTAATTTCTAGTTGGTTCTTTATCATAACATCGAGGGTCCCATTAGATTTCTTGAGGATCTCACTATATCTATCGGTGGTCTCGCCAGTCTTTGCGAGGGCCTTACTAAATTTATCGGCAGCTTCCAGACAGTTCTTGAAAGACCTTAAAAGTGTGGTTTTGAACTCTATATACAGCATTCTACTTTCCTCCATTTCTGTCACCTGTGTCCTGCTTCCCCGTCTCCACATTTTTTTATGCTTTCTTGGTGCACCCCATTGTGGTCTTTGTGCTCAGTCTTGTTGTAGTTAAGCCTTGATTGTTGTAGGTAATACTGGGGGGGATTTGACCTCCAGGCCAACTGGCCATGAGAATCAGCTGTGTCTGCAGTGGGAGAACTTCTGTCCTCTAGGGAAGTGCTAATCTAGCCTTTGCCTGAGGCTATCCTGCAAATGCCTCTGTGCAGGGCTTGGGCAGGGCAGGTCAAAGGGGATCAACAGGGCGGATGGAGCGAGCAGTTATGGCTGCTCTCAGTCCCGTCCCCAGAGGCTCTGCCTCTCAGTGTCCCAGCAACCGCTGAAAACCTCGGAGAGAAAGCTGCCCTCGAGTTCCGACCGATGCCAGACAGTCCCGCTTCTCCCGTTTGAGTCTGGGTCCCCAGAGACTAACCCGAAACTGGAGCCCAGAGCCTGAGACTCCCTCCCAATTGAAAATGACAACCGCGCCCTCAGCCGCCAGCCCGCTCCGCACGCACCTCCACACCTTTGTATTTTACTTCAGCACTGCGCCTCCTCTGAGTCTCGGTATGCTTTTCTCTTTCCTTCTAGTTGTAGAATTTCCCCTCAGCCAGCCTTCCTGTGGTTCTGGGTGATGTCCGTTCCATCTTTTAGTTGTATTTTTGAAGTGGTTGTGCGAGGCAGCAATCTCCGGTGTTTACCTATGACGCCATCTTGGTTTCCAATAAAATATATTTTTTCCATTTAACATTCTTGTGGGTTTCGATCCTACTCAACTACATGCATCTGAACCTATCAAGCCCACATCACTCAGGCGCGTGGGGCCATATGTTCGGACCACAGGTTCAAGCTTACAACTATAGCTGTTGGCTATAATTGTGCTGGGAGGGCTCTGCCCTCCAAGCTGGGACTTGCACATGGCCATGAGAGGGCTGTGCCCTCTCATTAGTCTGAGACTTGAACCTGTCCAAACACTGTAGCCGCTCTCCACATATCCCCCTTTTTCTTGTTTTTAAGCACTTCTATTTACATCATCAAAAGCTCTAGGCAAATTATTCAGCATAACCAAAACATTGAGAACAAACTTCTCTGGCTATTAATAAAATAATAACAAAAGAATGCCAATGCAACACAGCAATAAGAGGAAAACCAAACTACAGACATGTTAACATTTTCAGGGCTATTTTTGCAAAATGAAAATTTCTCTTGTTGCTGGTTTATATCTTACTCAGAATCCTC